CATTCCAGCGGCCACCCACCTCTGAACCACCGCGCTAAGCTTCATAACCCCTTACCATCTGCCATGGGTGTCACTGTCGGGCCACTCGTCACCGCCAGCCCCTCGGGCATCCACCTTAGAGCCTTTCCGGAGGAGCGTCTTCAGTTGTGGCTAAGAACCTACGACATATGGCAAACACCGTGCTGTGGGTACTTCTATTTCGTCAGCGAGGCAACCCTGCGACATTGACCTGTTGGGATGCTTTGGGCCGCCAGGACAACCACCTTGGCTCTACTCTGTAGAGCCAAAGATTCTTGGTCGAACAATGACAGGACTGAGGATGGTCTCAGGAATTAGGGCACCACCGGCCGGCTGGCTCTAGGACAGGGCCACTGATTTGCACACCTGTGCCAGGAGAACTCGGGTTCCTTCCATCTCTCCACTCTATCATCATTGGCACATTGGCCTTGTTCTCAAAGAAGCTCGCTTCACCGGAGCAAGATAGCCCTCGCCATCACATCGGACACAACACTCAGCTACAGGAGGGCAACCATCTCTCTCGTGTCTTAAGGGCAAGGACCATTGCCTAGAACCACCCCCTCCCCTAAGAGACTCCCCTCTACATCTCATGGACAGACCCATCCCAGAACAAATTGCTGGCAAGGGAATTAGGATACGGATCCCTTTAGACTGATCCGGATTCCTTTCCGTCAAGTGGGGGAGGAGGTGGTTGTCTGCTGTTGGTTCCGATGCATAGCCATCCTAGGTATGAGCCAGGGAAAGTTGCCAGGTCCTGGACCAACCTCACAATTAGTGCTTGAACCCGGCGTTGCAGCCACGGTGTCAATCCATCTCATCAAAGGTGGTCCTCTTTTTCACTGACCCTCTAGGTTACCAAGCAGGATGGTCTCCAGGGACCACTCGCTCTCTTCTAGTAACACTGTCCAGAGCCCAGGAGACAGAATCTTGCCGTCCTTGCTTCTGAGGAGAATGCTGGCTGCACCTCTCCCCAGAGCGACCTGGTCTTTCTCTGGCAGTCTGAGGTTAGTCGACCGTCTTTGTCAGTCCTGTCATTCGGATACGCCCGTTCTTCTGAGCCCCCCTTGAGTCCTCCACCAGCTTTCCCCTGCTATATGAGGGGGCTGGAAATACCACACCTCGGGCCCCTTTCGTCAGCAAAGTGACATCTTTGCATTTCCAACACGTTACAGCAGTCTTCCGTAGCATTCGCCCCGTGCGGAATGTCCTGGGCTTCTTGACTCCTGCTCCCACGGACATTGGTTGTGGGTCCAAGTCACGTGAAATCCTTGACAGCTTCACTATCTCCTCCGAGGTGGCCATGACATTGCTCACTGGTCTGGTCGTAAGGATGTCTGCTCTTTATGTTGACGTGTAAGCCCAAGGCTTGGAGTCTTCGGTCATCGTCAGGAAGTGCTGTGGCATCCTTCACGGTCAGTAGCAAGGCCGTGCCATCTGACTTTCACACGTTGTTAGTGAGTCTTCCTCCAGTCTTGACGCTGTTCTTCAAGTTGTCCAGCGTCTCGGATCACTGCTCAGCACACAGATGGAATAAGGATGGTGAGAGGATACAACTCGGACGCACACCTCTCCTGATTTTAAACTAGGCCGCATCCTGTGGTCTGTTGAGACCACTCTCTCGTGGTCTCTGGAAAGGTTCTTCACGAGCACAAAGAACCGTTCCGGGATTTCTAATCTCTGCAACGTCAGCCACGATTTGTCCTGAGCCACACAGCCGAATTCCTTTTCCTCGTCAGCCAAGCCCAGGTAAACATCTTTCTGGTATTCTCTGCTTTCAGCCAAGATCCATCTGTCGTCAGCCTTGATATCCCTGGTTCCGTGTCCTCTTCCAAAGCTGGCTTGAGTTTCTGGCCGTTCCTGGGGGGGTGTACTGCTGCAACCATTTAAAAAATTCTTTTCAATCAAACTTCACTTGCACATGATATGAAGGATGCTGTTCTGTAATTTTCATGTTCCTCTGGAGGCAGGCGATCCTGAGTTCAAACTCTGCCCAGTCCATGCTCGAGGGGGACCCGGGGCAGGTTACTTAACCCTCAGACTCCCGTTTCCTCCGCCGAGATGGAGAGACCAGCCCTGCCCGCCTGGCTTGGTGAGGATTAGAAGAGAGAATGCATGTAACCGCTCAGCACAGGGCCGGACACGTGAGGGGTGCCCAGGGCTTGTCGTTGCTCCTGCACCCAATCTACTGTCTGGGCTCTTGGCCATCTTCCCAAACTGGAGATGCTTCCTGGGGTCAGTATATCCCTGGGGGCGGGGAAAGGGAAATGATTTTCCTGCAGGAATTGTGACTGTCTTCCTGGGATGTGGTCTTCAAGCTCATGGGACACACAGGCTGTGTCCCCTCCTGTCCAGTCCCACAGGGCCCTCTTTCCCCGAGATCTCAGTCCTCAGAGCCACAAGGGACTGACCCAGGAACAAGGGGGGGTGGTCCTCTCTTGGAGCAGCGTGTGGGCAGCAGCTGGGCTCCCTCGAGGCGGCCTCCCTAGAGACTGCTTTCTGCCTCCCTTGCCAGCCTGACCACGGAGTTTCCAGGAAACACCGGCTACATTTGCTTTTCAGAGATGCCCTGCAGGGGTGTGGCCAAGAGGGTCCATCTGCCCTGGGCTTCCCAAGGGCCCCGCCCCAATGGCTCCGCTGCTTTGTGTGCACATGTTTCTGAGACACTCACTCCTGCAGCTTTGAACGTGGTTCTGGGCCCAGGCACCGGCAAGGACGGGTGTTGTGCATCTCGGTCCACGCCTGGGTGTGGCCCCTGCCTGCCCGGTGAATCTTGACTCCCCTCCATCCATCCAGGACTGGGAGAGGTCCTCCCCGGAAGATATGACTGGTGTTGCTGACTGGAGAATGGCGTTTGTCTCTGAGCCGCCCCTCTCTCCTCCCACTCCCCGCAGCCCCCCACCGTCCATCCTCGGGCAGAGCTCCAGGAGACAGGCGTGCTTCATCCGGATGGATCTACCACATCTCCCAGGCAGCTGTGACACGGAAAGGCTGGAGGATAACCCCCACCTCTGTTTGTGGTCGCTTTCTGGATGCACTGAGATCTTTCTGGCACCATCTGCCCTGGGGCCTGGCTGGGCTGGACGCTTGCACAAGACCTGGCTGCCCCTGGCTCAGTCTCGCTGGAAAACATGGTCAGCCCTCTCTCCCGAAAAATTCAAAACACAGACACTCCTTATGCCCTTTCCTGGAAACATTCTATAGCTTCAGCCTGGGAAAGCTTCCAAAAGTTTCCCCGAACCAAAGATAACAATAATAAAATAAAATACTTTTTTAAAGACAGAGGAAGGGGAGGGAGAGACTCTTGGGCAAAGGCCCCGTGGATGGATGTTCCAGGGGACAGACACTTGGGCTGCAGGGAAAAGCCCTTTCCAGGTTGGTTCTGACATTTGTGCTGTTCTCTCGAAAGGTAATTTCAAAGCTGGCCTGCCCAAAGCCAGCGTTTGGAATCTACCCGGAGGGCAAAAGCCTCCTCTTCCTTCCCACATCTGGAAAGTTTTCACACCAGTGGCCCCGCTCCCTTGGCCTGAGCTCACGAGCAGGCCTTTCCCAATCTTCCAAGGCTCCTTGGCCTCCCAACGGCCGCCCCGCTGACCTATCAGGAGCTGTGTTTACCTCGCTCCTGCAGCAGCTGCATTCCAGCTGTGGAGCGATTAGGAAACCTTTCGGAAGCTCCCTAGGCCCTACAAGGTCCAGCAGGAATCTGTGTGTCCCCAGGAGGGGACACCTGAGTATTGGCTAGGATCTGCAGATATGAAGACACGCAGGGAATGCATTCTTGACTTGGGGTTCCTTCCCAGTTCTAGGGCGCAGAAGAGCCAGCTATTCGCTTACAGGAAATATTTGTTGTTGTTGTTTTCTAGTGGATTCTGCCGAGAAAAAATGCTGCCCGGCTTAGCCCCACTCTCCTCAATGGGAAACGCAAGCAGTGACATTCAAACATCTTTGTGCAGAGTTGAACACTTCCCATTGACTCCAGGGCATTTACCGCGTTGATCAAAGCTCAACACCAGCCCCATGCTCCACCCAGCCTTGGGTGGGGGGGGGTCGGCCAGCAGAGAAAAGAGAGCCTTCCTCTAAAGCATCTACCCATTGATTCTTGACTCCCGTGGACAGACTGTACCGAAGGTGGGGTGGGTGGCAGTCTGTTGGAAGGTCCAAAGACAACACAGAGAGGGGGAATCTCAGAGCCCAAAAAGGATCTTTTAAATACAGAGGTGGCCAGACCGGGCAGGGCTGAGCAAATGGCCTTCGAGGCAGCTGAAGCCCTCAGCAGCGGTCTGAACAACTGCCACCCAGCTCATCCTGCTCGCAAGGGATGCTGCAGCATGAAGTAGGTCTTTCCCCTCCACCTCTTGGACCACCAGATGTCTCCTGGGACTCCGTGGGGGACCCTCAGGTTAATGACGGCCCATGTCCCTACCTTGTTCTAGAATGACTGGTAGCAGCTGCCCAGCTAGACACGATCTACCCCAAACCCATTCGTTCTCCGTGCAGCAACCTCTGACTCTTAGAACGCACCAATCAACCCCCACGGGTATGCACTGTGACTCAGAGACAGCAGCCCTTGTCCAGTGCTTAACCAGGATGAAGAACTCCATGGGGCCTCCCGCTGATTCCTGGTGCTAAAAGCAGAAACGGAACATTGGGAGAGGTGCTAAGCTCTGCCAGAGGGGCCCACCAAGCTCTGGAGACAGCTTCCGTCTCCCTCCTTCTTTCTGTCCTGCTGTCCCACTTTAAACATCCCTTCCCACCCACCTCTTAACACCTTCAGGACCAGCACCCCTGCTACCTCCACTCCCTCCTCACTAGCCTTGCTACTTCTCCGGCAGGTTTGTCTTGTTTGTGGACCATTCTGGGTGAAAGTGTACGGAGCGCATTCGTTTCCCGTTCTACAATGTAGTCGCCTTTTATTGACTGAGATTGGCTGCAACCCCTTCCATGTGATGGCATCTTTCCCACTTCCTCCCTGGGCTCCCACTTACCATGAGCTCTTCTGGAAGCCTTGTTTCCAGGTTTCATTTGGTTGATTCATCTGGAGGTGCACACATGTCATCGCTCCCTGTACAGGCCTGTGATCCCTGACTGGGGTCTTGATGATTTTTGAATGACGGTCTACATCTGTCTCCCCCTCTGTCCAGCACCTTCTTCTATCGTGATCCTGATCCGAGTGGTCGGAGTGAGAATCAGGACACCATCTCGTTCTCCGGGTCTCAGAGTAGGCAGCTTTGGTTCAGGTGGTGCAGGAGCCCTTTGGACCCGTGGTTTCCTTCACTCTGGAAGGGAAGAGATCAATAGTTGTATCTTTGATGGGCACTTGCAAGCTTTTAAGCCCCCCCCCCTTAACACAGAGCATTGTCTTCATGGACATGACCTTGAGGTCCCCAGAGCAGGGGTTTTCTGAGGGCAACCATGTGGTTGCCATGGAGAGCGCCCCTCCCCAGTCCGTACCCCTGTGGTTTAGAGACCCCAGGAGGAAAGTACCAGGAAACCCCAACACCTGAAAGCTTTAGCTTCCCGCGCCTGCTTGCGCCGACACACTGCACCCGAAATAGACTCATTGTCCGCTTGTGCAACATCCAGGAATTTGGTGAAACTCATCATTTTTCAGGTTACCGATAATGCAAGTTTGGAAACCGAAACAGGAAGGAGCTTAGGCTGAAAAAGCTTTTATCCCGCCCACAGCATTTCTCTCTCCAGATGCAAGCTAGCTCTGGGGTGTGTGTGTGTGTGTGTGTGTGTGTGTGTGTGTGTGTGTGTGTGTTTGTTGGTCCAGGAGCCCTCTGGTGGGGTTAAAATTAGCTGGCAGCATTCTGGTCACATGCTCGACAACAAAACAAGAGAGAGTTGTTCCCCTGCCACTCCTAAACCAGCCTGGGACAGACCTTCCTAATCCCTGGCTTTCTGGGAAGCTGGCTCTTCAGGTCTTGGTAGAAAGGGGCCACACCACAACTCGCCCTCCCCACCCACCTCCCCTGTTTGGCTTTCCTCTCTGCACTGCCACCATGCAGAAAACAGAGAATGTCAAGCCTGTTTGGAATGCCAGGGCAGGCCTCCATCTCAGAGGGCACTTGGGGGCCACAGCTGGCTTCGGCAGATCTTCCCACCCTCATTTGGGAGAGGAGGGCTGTGGGGAGGGTGTGTGTGGAATTCTAGAAGCTGACAAATCAGCAGACAGGTCTGAGGATATGAGGAGAGAGGGAGGGGACTATCTGAGATGAGAACTTGGGCCTGGGCAGCTGCAGGAGTTGGCTGCTCTCAGCAGGATGAAAAAGCCCAAACAATGCAGTTGAGCTATCTCAGGCTGTAACTCAGGACCCTGCGCCTTATCTCTGGGCTCTGGTGAGCCCCGCTCCTCCACTGCCCCCCACCCCCCCACCCAATCAGCTTTGTTCTTCCACCAGAAACCCACACCAAGAATTCATACACAGAGAGGCAGGAAACATCCCTGATGCTCAGGTGGGGGACATGTCAGTCAACCTGAGAGAGGCCTCGCCACCGTGAAACAGGCTTCGGGCTGTCCAAAGCTTAACAGTTTCCCGGTTTGTCTCAGGAAGGTGAGGGGAAGGGGCCTTGGGCAGGAGGGAGGTTTCCGCCAACCCCTGTTCAATCCCCAGCCTGAACCCACCCTGAAATGTCTCCAAGGCCAACTGCCCCTTTAAAAAAAAATTGCATTTTAACCCTAGCCCTCTCAGCTGGGTGCTGGCAAGGTGAGGCAGACGGTTTGGACGGATTCATGGATTGATGTAGAAAGGGGCAACTTCAGGATCAGGCAACTCTAGAGAGAAGGAGAGGGTGTGGCCCTGGCCACAATGGCTGTGATGATCTCAAGCAGACATCCAGCCAGGGACGTCCAAGAAATCGCAGTGAAGCATTTCCTGTCCCTGCCTCCACATGGGCCGCACCATTATGAAAGAACCCCTCCCTTGGACTCCACGTTCTGGGATATTTCAGGGTTCGTGAGAGAGCTGCAGGGCCCGGTTTGTCTTTCTTTTAAAGCCCAGTTGTCACCAAGTCTATTCCATTGCACCCCTTTAGGGCAGAGTAGAACTGTCCCACAGGTCTCCCAACGCTGCCATCTGTGTGCTGGCTTCAAACCACTGACCTGTTCGTTAGCAGCTAAATGCTTACCCACGGCTCCCCACTTTGTCAAAGGAGCCTCTGCTGGTTTCCGCACCTGGACTCTTCAGCACACAAACAGACCCACACAGAAATCCCCACTGCCCTCATGTTCGGCCTCCTCAGAAAGGTCTCTGTAATAGGATCCATGCACCATTGTTTTCAAGGGAACCGCCTCAAGGCGTGGAGAGTACACACAAAGGTCTGTGAGCAGAGCCCTAGATAAACAGGGCGCCTGAATATATTTAGCAGAAAATATGGAAAGCCATGGTAAAGAGAAAAAAAAACCAAAACACACGTTCCTTTCCTGGGATGTTCAAGGCGTTTTCAAGTCCAGGGAGCCTTCAGGAAATAGCAAGTTGGGTTGAAAGCGAATACTGCTCACCTTCCTTAGCCTCAGTGCAAATAAATCACTGAGCCTCTCTGATTCCCAAAGCCTTTGGCTGGAGTGGAGTATTCCATTTCCCCCATTAACCCGGCCACCCAGAGACCTGAAAATATACCCGATTGGAACGTGCTGTTCTGTTGCTGTACATTGAACCAGACTGTGTTTTTAAATAGCTGTGGTGTGTGTGCACATGCGTGTGTGTGCTCGCTCGTGAGCAAAACCGGGCGCCTTGCGGTCCAGACACCCTCACACCCAGCCACCTGAAATCATTGCATTAAATGACAGACCTGTTTCACTTTGGAACGCCGCGGTGTCTGACGGGAACATACACTGTCATTGTTCCCACAGAAGTCTCACGTGCACGCTCACACCCAGGGTGTTGCACTAAGCTGCCTCCAGAAAGCACCCCAAGTCCCTGCGTTTCAGGGTGGGGAGAGGGAGGCCGGGCTGCCCACGACTTAAAATGGGTGCTACAAGTTGGAGATGGCTAGCTAAAACATCTGGCACCCTCGCCTTTCCAAGTTGCCAGGGGGCATTTTATTAAAAAGGTAAAACACACACAAACGGGGCAGAATGGGGTGTGGGTGGGGGTGTACGTGTTTACATCCGAGGTTTGATGACTCAATGCCTTACACTTGGGCCTGCTGCTAAGCTCGGTGAAAAACACAGCTTTGTGAATGTCTCCCCCCAACCCCATGCCGGGCTGGGGTCTAGGAGGCAATGGCCCCCCACTCAAGGACAGGGACCCACGGTCTCTTAGACCAAGGAGAAGCCAGAAGAAATTCACCTGCCTTCCCCGGGGCTGCCTCCTCTCAGCTCTGGAACCAGAGCGGGGAGGGTTAACCTTTTTCCAGAACATTTATTTCACCATCTCACTGACTAGAAGGCGGGGCGGGGGGAGGCGGGGAGCGAGAGCCTGCCGCGCTGAGGCTTGCGGATCACAAGACCATTCTGATAGCCTCCTGTCCCCATGGCAACGACAACGGCATTTATCAGTTCCTTCTGCGCGCAGGCACAGCAAATCTGCATTGCACATGGAAGGCTTCCAGCATTTCAAATGAAAGAGCACTTTGAACGGCTGCCAAGTTTGGAAGGAGCCGAACTGTCAGGGCTGCTTAAAGCTGGCAGTTTATACTGGGGAGGCTTGTGCTTCCCAGAATCCTCCGGGCCTGGCGAGCTGCCAAGTCCTTAGCGGAAGCTAAAAAGTAACTCGCTCCCCTCCCTCCGCTCCCCCTGCTCACGCTCCCCCTCCACACCATTCACCGCAGTGCTCTCAAAATTTTCCACATGTCCTGTGTCACCAGGGCAGACTGTACAATGAGAACCAGAAAGACGGCTGCCCACGATGGGGCGGTTATGAATAATCCGAGGGGGGAGGCGGGTTTGCTGGGCCCCTGACAGCCCAGGCTGGGGTGCGGGTATCCCCGCCATAACCACTGCGTATGAGTGTGAATGCGTGCGCGCGCGCGCGCGTGTGTGTGTGTGTGTGTGTGTGTGTGCGTGCGTGCTTCATCCTTAAAAGCACATTAAGAAAAATAAAAGCCCCTTCAGAACCACGGACAGTCCAAATCCTGGGGGGACTGGAGCAGACGGGGGTGGGGGGCTGGGGGGGGATTCTGGGTGGGTGATTTGGAGCTTCTGGAGTCAGAGTGGGAAATGAATGCTAGGCAGGCAGCCTTGATTCCGACCAAGCCTTTCCAAGAGCTGGAGGGAGAAGGAGGTTGTTATGACGTTGAACCCGGTTCTGGAACTTTCCTTGACTCCCTGGGGTGCCCTGGTGAAAGCTCGGGGGCAGGGTGGGAGTTGAGAGATGATGTTCAAGGGAAAGTTGACCAGATAACTCGTGACCTTCACACAGCCCCGTGCAGAGGGCTTGGACAGGCAGAAAGTGGAAACTGGCGCAGCTCTCACTGTGATGTTAAAAAAAAAAAAAATCCACAGTGAGATCAAGGGCCCAGGCTTTATTTTCCAGCACAAATAGAACGAAAATTGTCTGCCGCTTAGGCGGTTGGATAGCGTTCAGGAAAACTATGTCTGGCATTAATTCCAAAGTGGAGGTTTGGGTTTAAGCGAGGCTCATTAATTTCAGTAAACTGTTTTCACTGGTCCAGACCCCGCTGCGCAAGGACTATTTATTACCTTTTGCTAACCTGATGTCTGCAGAGTTGTAAAGCATATAAAGGGGGCGGGGGCGGGGGGGTTGATCTGAGGTAGATATATCTATATCTAGGATCAAATGGATTTTGCACCTTCCCTTGGGTGGGTGGGTGGGGCATAGTTTATGGGGAGATTGCACTCCCTGGTTTTTCTTGACCAGATCCAGTTTAAAACAAAACAAAAACTCCATCCTGCGGTGAATTCGAGAGAGGGGTGGAATCCGGATGGAGAGGAATCTGAGGACAGCAAAGACCCATCTCTGGCCTCCTTCAGAAGGCAGAAGGGCACCTCCCCACCGTGGGGGAGGGTTTGTGTGCCTGTCCCAGCTTCCAGACTGCAGGTCCCGCCCCAAGCCCTGACGTGATTCACCCTGACCATCAGTTTTAAATACACCAAGACAGTCGATTTGGGCATTTCTGCTCCCTTAGGAATTTTACTAGCTGCCTTAGAAAAGCACATACATTGCATCCTCCTCCCTCTTTTCTTCCAT